AAAATTCCCCCAAATTTTTACCTAAGCTATTTCCTGAACAAGAACTGAATTTAAGGCCATGAATATGTAATGATTCTTTCTCTTTTTGAGACAGGGTCTATGTATCCCAGACCGGCCTTAAACTTGCTTTGTATTAGAAGAACGACCTTGAACTTCTGATCCACTTGCTTCTACAACTTGAGTGCTGGTATTATAGGCATGCCTTGTTTATTTGGTGCTGGTGATCTGTCCCAGTTGTGATAAAAACACTGATCAAAACCAATTTGGGAAGGAAAGGGTTTCTTTCACTTCAGCTTATAGTTCATCAAGGAGGGAAGCCAGGGCAGGAACTCAGGGCAGGAACCTAGAGCACAGACCATGGAGGCTCACTGCTTACTGGCTTGCTCCCCTGGCCTGTGCTCAGCCTGCTTTCTTCTACAACCAAGGACCACTGTCCAGGGGTGGTACCACCCACAATGGGCTGGACCCTCCCACATCACTTAATAATCAAGAAAATGTCCCTTAGGCCATTCCACTGGAGGTAATTCCTCTGTTGAGCTATCCAGCACAGGATCAAACCAAGGACCTTGTGCATGCTAGGCAAGCACTTTACTAACCAAGCCTCATTCCCAGTTCCTATAATGATTATTTTTGTCACAATAATTGATGGTACTAATGACAACGATCTTGCTGATGGGAAACAAAAACTGTATGGATATTGAGGTATTAAACTGATTAAAAACTATTCTAGGCCTGAAAATGAAGAAGATAAACACGTGTCTACCAGGGGATCAATAAATATTACAGGAGTCAGGATTAAACCTCATTAGTAGGCAAATACAAAATGCAGGAAATTACAAAGGAACACTAATTATAAAACCACAAAGGCAAAAGCACTACAATGACAAAATGCAGAGGAGGTGGTCCATCAGCTACTAGACTGACAATAGCCATATACACTACCCAATTAGACAGGCTTTAAAAATCTGGACAAGAATTATATGCATGGTTATTCAAAAGCAATGGCCTACTGTTCTGGAAGGTTCCCCGTGTGAGGAGGAATAGTTTTAGTGAGAATTCACTGGATTGGAAGTGTGGGCTAAGCACCCAACTGTGCCTCACACATGAAATGAGACTGTTATCATGAGGAGCTGTAAAGAAGTAGTAACAACGTTTATAACTGGCAGGAGCCATGTGAGTCTGAAGTGGAAAAGGAAATATCTAGTTGAGAATAAAGTCAGGATTTGTGAAAGGGACTCACCTGGCTAATCTGCCACATAGGTGTCATTATGCCACTGCATGTACATGTCAACAAAGCCTTCACTGTCCACAGATGATGGCAGGCCTAGGGAAGCTGGGGGCCATTGCCTCATTGCACTCTACAGTGACTCTTTTATAAAATTAATTTTATTATTTTGTTTTATGTATGAGTGTATTGTATTGCCTGCATGTATGTAAGTGCACCCATTTCATGCAGTGCCCAAGGAGGTCAGAAGGTGTCAGATCCCCTGGAACTGGAGTTACAGATGGTTGTTAGCTGTCATGTGGGTGCTTGGAATTGAACCTTTATCCTCTGCAAGAGCAGTCAGTGCTCTTAAGCGCTGAGCCATATCTCCAGCCCTGCTACTATGACTCGATATAAGGGGAGTCAGGCTTGCTTCCAGTTGAACTTTGGAGGAGAGATGGGGATACCCATAGCATCCATGAGCAGACCATTCTAGCAAATATAATCTTACAGCTCTTTCTCATCATCCTGCCTGACCTCTAGATAATAATTCCAGTACCTCCTACTTCATTCTCCTCTAATCTCAGAATCACAAGCACACTCATATATACAAGTGTCAGTGACCTTCTGGATTTTCAATGATAATACCTACTATGTCAGACTTTTATCACTGTGACAAAACTCCTGAGAAAACAACTTAAGGGAGAAAGGATTTATTTTGGGTCGTGGTTTCAGGGGGTTCAGTAGTCTATGGTCAACTGGCTCCATCTCTATGAGCCTGTGGGAAGGCAGAAACATCATGGTGGAGAAGGTATGCAGAGCAGAGCACTCATAGTGGTCAGAAAGGGGGGAGTGAGGGAGGAGGGAGGGATCAGGAACAAGGTATGTTCTTCAAAGACACTCCCCCAGTAACTGCTTTTCCTCCCACCAGGCACCCTTTCCTGATACAGACAGGAACGCTCTTGGAAGCAGCTGGAGTGGTGCCGAGTGCTACGGTCTGGCCTCCCCCAGGAGAAATTCAGTAGATTGGAGCTTTTTTTTTTAGTGTGCTCAGCAGCAAAGAGATGCGAGACTAGTGTCTGAGCTCAGGACAGGTGGGGGCAACAACATTTGTCATTCATTCATTCATTCATTCATTCAATAAAAGATAGTTAGCATGTGTTTACTGACATATGGCCAGGCACTATGCTAAGCACTTTACCAATAGTAGCTAAATTCTCATACCACCATAATGAGATGGGCACTTACTATTGTTTCCATTTTCCACATGGAGAAGTGAAGCACAAGAGATTAAGCAGCTTGCCTAGAGTTATACAGCCAGGAGATGCAAGAGCTGGGAGTCAAAGGTTTGAACTCAGGCATTCTGGCCTACAGTATGCATGCTCTGAATGTTTCATCATGGTCTGCAGATATCATGATGAGGGACTTGGCTAATTACTGCCAATGACAGAGGGAACAAGACAGATATTGTCTCTGCCTTCAGGGGGCTGATGCTTCAGAGTAGTCAATGGGAAATTCCATCATGGCATGATGAGTTCTATGATAGAGGTCTGAGCAGAGAGCAGAAGCCAGTAGCTTTCAGGGATGTGTTTCTTGGGAACTAGATCAAAGAAGCCAAACAGACCCCGGCATGGTACCCCACACCTTCAATCCCAGTACTAAGGTGGCTGAGGCAGGAGAATTATAAGTTTGAGATCAGCGTGAGTTACATAGCTAGTTCCAGTCCAGTCTGGGCTCTCTCTCTCTCTCTCTCTCTCTCTCTCTCTCTCTCTCTCTCTCCATCCCTATTCTTACTGAACTCTGAACTTGTAATATAGTGGAGTGCCAAGCAATAAATGAAATAAGCAAGAAAGATATATAGGGTTTTATGGGAAAACAAAAGTAAGGTAGACAGGAAAAACAGGAATATGGTGAAATTTAGATATAATGGTCACCAAAGTCTCTGAGAAAATGACATTTCTGCAAAGAAAATCAAGGATTTTAAGGAAGTAAGGAAGTGGGCCATGCCAATACCTCAGGGACGAGTATTCAGGCACAGGGAATAGCAACAGCAAAGGCATCAAGGGAGGAATGGGCTCCCATGCTTGAAAGGGCTGAGCGGAGGGGAGGTTACAGAAGGAGTTAAGATCAAAAGGAATGAACAAGTAGAATCTGGGTGTGATGCCTGGGACCAGGGGAACCAAACCTGTTACACAGCTGAGTACTCCCCCAAACCATGACTGGGATCCACGAGGGAGGGAGACAGGAGGCTTCATAGTAAGGACTATTGATACATCCTTCAGCTCTACTCCAAAGTCATGGCCTCAGTCCCTACCCCACTCCCAAGCCTGAGCAGCCGGGCATTCCTTGGGCTTCCTCTTCCAGTGGAAAACCACTGAAAGCTGGGAAGAGCAAGCTAAGATTGAGAACTGACCTATACAATATGCACACTGCATCTATCCTTCCTCCCCGCTTATCTCGGGGGACATGACAATGGAAGGTATGATGGCATGACCACTGGCTCCCTGTGGTCCTTCTGAGAGAAAACCCCAAGAAGGCACAGTGATACCCATGGAGATCAGGTTCTAGGACCCACCTTGGATACCAAAATCTATGAATGCTCCAGACTCTCATATGAAATGCTGTAGAGCTTACAGATAAGCTATACACATCCTCTCATAGACTTCAAATCATCTCTAGATCTCTATTATCCATAGCATCCATGGCAACAAAAATGCCAGGTAGGTCACTGTTATATATTGTTTAGGGACTGACAAGAACAAAAAAGGGTGGGTACATGTTCAGCGAAGATATAATTTTTTATTAAAATATTTTACAATTTTTATTTTATGTGTATGAGTGTATTGCCTGCATGTTTGTAAGTGCACCCATGTCATGCAGTGCCCTCAGAGGTCAGAGGAGGGCATCGGATCCCCTGAGACTGGAGTTATAGATGATTGTTAGCCATCAAGTGGGTGCTGGGACTCGAGCCCAGGTTCTCTGCAAGAGCAGCCAGTGCTCTTAACCGCTGAGCCATCTCTCCAGCCCCTAGATATCATTTTAAAAACATATTCTCTTTTCTTCCTTTTCTTTATTCTTAATTTTTAGATAGAGTCTTACTAGAAAGCTCAAGCTGACCTTAAACTCACTCTGCAGCCCAGGCAGACTTTGAATTTATGATCCTCCTGCCTCAGGCTTCCCAAAATGCTGAGATTATAGTTGAGACTATAGTTGTGTGCCACTGCATCCAGTTGCTTCCCCCCACTCCACCCTGTTTTTTGTTGTTTTTTTTGTTTGTTTGTTTTTTGTTTTGTTGTTGATAGTCTCCCTATGTAGCCCTGGCTAGCCTTGAACCCATTATGTAGACCAGGCTGGCCTTGATCTCACAGAGATCCACCTGCATCTGCCTCCTGAATGCTGGGAATTAAAGGTGTGCATGACCATGCCTTGCAGGCTTTGAAAAAAAATTCTGTGCATATTTGGTAAAGCCTGCAGATGCAGGGCTGCAGGTATGGAGAACCAACACTAACAAGAATTTCCCTCCTTTCAAGATCTCTGTGCCCAAGAACCTAGGCCTACAGTGCCCCAAGAAAGTTCTAAGTCAAAACATTATCTAATAAGGATGATCTGTAGAAGATCTTTAAACCATTTGGATACAAGATTCATGTTACTTTTCTGTATTATGTTACATATATTTTAGCCACTCTCTGGCTTGCTTTCACATTCTCTTAGTAGTGCTTTGATGAGCAGAAGCTCTTAATTAAAAAAATATTTTATTATTTTTCATGTATGAATGTAATGCCTGCATGTATGTAAGTGCACCTGTGTCATACAATGCTCATGGGGATCAGATTAGGGCATCAGATACCCTGGAACTGGAGTTTCAGACGGTTTTTAGCTGCCATGTGGGTACTAGGAATTGAACCTGGGTCCTCTGCAGGAGCAGCCAGTGCTCTTAACTGCTGAGCCATCTCTTCAGCCCCAGAAGCTCTTAATTTTAATGTAGCCCAATGTACCTATCTCATCTTTTATAATTACTGCCTTTGTGTTGTGACTCTCTTTTGTTTCTCAAAGGTAATGAAAATATTCTGTCTTACTATTTTACCTTCTACATTTGGACCCATGGTTTACTTGAGAGTCTTTTTTGTGGATGATGTAAGGTAAAGACTACATTGTCCTAGCAAAATTTACTATGGAAAAAAATGTTTGCCCTACATAGCACGGGCAGCTTTGATATGTGCCAGGGCAAGGGTAGGCTTTTTCTAGACTTGCCGTTGTATTTCATTAGTCTATTTTTCTACCACTGGGCCAAAACCATGCTGTTTGAATTACTTCTAAACAGTATCTAGTAGAACAATCCTCTAGTCTCATCCTTCAAGAGTCTTGAGGCTGGAGAGATGGCTCAGCGGTTAAGAGCAGTGGTTGCTCTTGCACAGGACCTGAGTTCAGTTCCCAGCACCCACATGGCAGCTAACTACAGTTCCAAAGATCTGACACCCCTTCTGGCCTCCATGCGCATTTCACAACACAGGTACATCTACATAAATGCTGGCAAAACACTAATACACATAAAAGAAAAGTAAATCAATAAAGTTTTTGCGGGGTGTGGCGGCACACGCCTTTGATCCCAGCACTCAGCACGCAGAGGTACCCAGATCTCTGTGAGTTCAAGGGCAGCCTGGTCTACACAGTGAGTTCCAGGCCAGCTGGGTCTTGGGGCTACAGGGAGACCCTGTCTCAAAAAGACCAAAAAAAAAGTCTCCTGGCTTTTCTTTTCACACATATGAATTTAAATAAGCTTTTCAAATTCTCATCAACACACACACCACACATACACAGACACACACAGAGAGAGACAGAGACAGAGACAGAGGAGTTGGGATTTGTGTGTATATGTGTGAATGCAGGCATGAACATGCTCCAGTGCATGTGTGGAGGTCAGAGGACAGCCTCAGGTGTTGATACTTCCCTTCCACCTTGTCTTTTTTTTTTCCACTTTGTATATCAGGCAGGCTAGCCTGTCAGTTTCTGGGAATTCTCTTTTCTATATCACACATCTTCATAGGATCACTGGGATCACAGATGCTCCTGCTATACCTCTGGGTCTGGGGACTTGAACTCAGGTCCTCACACTTATGTAGCAAACATTTTTACCCACTGAGCCATCTCCCCAGTCCTGGAGTTGGGACTCTGTTGGGATCATGTTATATCTAGAAATCAGTTTTTGGAGGATACTTCAAAGTTATTAAGGCTTCCAATACATGAATACAGTGTACCACTCCATTTATTTAGGTTTTAAGTTTTCTCCATGTTTTATAGTTTTCTAAGTAAAGGCCCTATACATATTTTCCTATATTTACCGCTCAGTATTTTATGCAATTGTAGTGACTATTTGTTAATTTCTGTGGTAGCTGTGTGTCATGGTACACACCTGTAATCCCAGCACTCAGGAGATAGAGGCAGGAGAATCACTGCAAATTCAAGGCGAGCAAGCTAGGGTCATACAGCAAGATCCTGTGTTCTAGTTTGGCTTTTCTATTGCTATGATAAAACACTGACCAAAAACAACTTGGGGAGGAAAGGGTTTATTTGACTTACAGCTCACAGTCCATCATTGAGGGACCTCAGGGCAGGAACCTAGAAGAAGGAAGTGAAACACAAACCATGAAGGAACGCTGCTTACTTGTTTGCTCTACCCGCCTGTGCTCAATCTGATTTTTTTTTTTTTGGTCTTTTCTTGGAGGTCTCCCTGTAGCCCCAGCTGGCCTGGAAACCGCTATGTAAACCAGGCTGGCCTTCCCCCAACCTCTGCCTCCCAAGTGCTGGGATCAAAGGTGTGTACTACCATGCCCTGCTTCAGTCTGCTTTTCTACACAGGCTAGGACCACAAGCCTAAGGGTGAAAATGGCTATTCCCCACCCCCACATCAATTAGAAATTCGAAAATGCCTCACAGAGGTGACCACAGGCCAATCCCTCTTCCCAGGTGTGTCAAGTTGACAACTGAAGCAATCCAGCACACCCTGTCTCAAATTTTTTTGTGTATGTAAATGGCTGGAACATGACTCAGAGGTTAGGAGCATTTACTGCTCTTCCAGAAGACCAGAGTTTGGTTCCCAGCATTTGTGCTGGGTGCCTCACAACCACCTGTAACTCCAACTCCAGGGATTCCAATGCACACTTCTGGCCTCTGTGGGTACTTGCATTCATGTGGCACACACACACACACACACACACACACACACACACACACAAATAAAAATAAATCTTTGCAGGCATGTATCACATGCCTTTAATCCCAGCATTCAGGAGGCAGAGGCAAACGGATCTCTGTGAGTTCAAGGCCAGCCTGGTCTACACAGCCAGTTAGTTTCAGGTCAGCCAGAGCTACATAAGACCCTATCTCACAAATAGTAATTTTTGAGCTGGGCGTGGTGGTGCATGCCCGTAGTCCCAGCACTTGGGAGGCAGAGGCAGGCAGATCTCTGTGAGTTCTGATAGGTAAAAAGTTGGTGGAGAACGAGCGAATGGATGATGAGGCACGGAGGCACAGCTAAAACGCCATCAAAATCGGGTTTATTAGCAAAGGAACACATGGGACAGATTCCCTTCCAGGCAGGGAAAATGTTTGCCTGGGTCTTGAGCTGGGGTCTTTTAAAAGGGAGGCTTCTGCTTCCTGCAAAAGGTGGGAAGGTGTATTTTTTTTTAAAGTTGGGGGGGGTGGGAGAGCAGGACTGTTAAAACCTGTCCTCTTTAGAGATCAAAGGGGAAGCCCACTGTGTTGGCCAAACAGTGGAGAAAAGTCTGCTTCTCTAGACTTCAAAGACCAGGGTGCTTATCAGCTAGGTTCCCTTTTCTCAGGAGCAGAGAAGTCCTTGGGATCCTGTTGGTGAGGGGGCAGGGCTATCTGAACCTTAACAAGTTCAAGGCCAGCCTGATCTACATAGTGATTTCCAGGACAGCTGGGGCTTACAGGGAGACCCTGCTTCAAAAAGAAAAAAAAACAGTAATTTTTGTGGTACTGTGGATTGGATCCAGGGTCTTGTGTATGCTAAGCAAGTGTTCTACTACTGAGCTACATCTCCAACACACTAGATTTAGATATTTTAAGTTTCCAACAGCTTTTGCTTATATATAGAAATACAGCTGAGTTTCTATAATCATTACATATCCAGCAACCTTTCTAATTCATCAATTCAAATGTTTCTTCTCCAATTATTTGGGGTATCCTATATACACAATCATGTTTTCTACAAATAATAATGGCTATCAGTTCTTCTTTCCTAAAGCTTTGAAGTTTCAATTTCTTTTTCTGCTCTCACTCTACCGGCCAGGATTTCCATGACAATAGTAAACAGACGAATTCTTGTCTCAATTTCAATTTCATGAAGCAAGCTTTTGAGCATGCTTGCTGCAGGCTTTCTGAAATAGATGACCATTTATCAAAATTTACATTTTTTCCTGTCCCTCATTCTTTATTTCTCATTTCAAAGAGCATAATTATAACAATGACAATTTAATGACTGTTGGGTCCGAGGTTCGGGAATGATTGGAGACCACCCAGTAAAATTCGAAATTTAGAAAATTTTATTGAAAAGCATTCCAATCTTGAATGACCAGTCTGGCACAGACTCCAGGAGCCAAAGAATTGAGTCTTGCCCCGACCAACAATGAGCGGGGGTTTTTATTGGGTACTCTTGAAAAAGCCTGCACAAACTGGGCGACCTTTGAATTGATTGGATAACTCTGAATTCCTTGTACGGGGGGAAATTTCATTGGTTATAGTCATGGTCAGCTGCCTGGAATGTCTCAATTTTTCCTTTTATGGTAGGGTGCCCCTATTGGCCTCTGGATGCCCTTTTATGGTCAGGAATTTCTGTTGGTTTCTGTTAGACTCAGATAAGTGAGGCAAGTCTGGGTTTGCCTAATCTTAGCCTGCAGTATGGGGCAAAGGAGACTTACAGTTTCTAGGAACAAAGACTTAAGACTGACAAGATGGAGGCTGCTAAAAAATGGAGCCAGTGTGACCTGGATCCTTCAATAACTTTCCTTCAAACATTTATTTATACTTCTCATTTTTCTTTTTATTAACTAAGGTTGAACTTCAAGAACAAGAACAATGCTGAGTAATAGCAAGGATCCTAGTCTTGTTCTTGACATGAATGAAAATGAGTCTAGAATTTCATCTGAATTGTGTTTAGAATTTTTATCCATATTCAGGACTTTTATATCTATATTTGTGAGATTGATCCATATATCTTTTCTTTCTATCACAGAATTTTGGCATCGATTACACTATTAATATAAGGAATTACATAAAAATTATCTTTCCCTGCTATGTAAAACAGTTGCATAAAAAGTCCTGCTAGAACTCAATGCCGAATTCTTATTACCCACAAACGAGAGAGAGAGAGAGAGAGAGAGAGAGAGAGAGAGAGAGAGAGAATTGAGGGTCTTGACATGTTGCCAGGTTGATCTCGTTTCTTTTTTAAAAAATATTTTATTTATTATTTTAATTTTATGTGTATGAGTGGATTGCCTGCATGTAGGTAAGTGCGCCCGTGTCACGCAATGCCCACAGAGGACAGAAGAGACCATCGGATCCCCTGGAACTGGAGTTATGGATAGTTGTTAGCTGCCATGTGGGTGCTGGGATTTGAACCCAGGTCTTCTGCAAGAACAACTAGTGTTCTTAACCACTGAGCCATCTCTCCAGCCCCAGACCTCCAATTTCTGAACTCAAGCAATCACCCCATCTCAGCTGCGTGCTGGGATTATAGGTGTGTACTATTCTTACCTGCCTGAGACCACTAATATTTTTTTTCTTTTTCTTTGATTTTTGGAGGCAGACTCTTGTCATGTAGACCTGGCTGGCTTTGAACTCCTGATTTTCCTGCTTCTACCTCCAGAGTTCTACTGGGATTACAAACATGTTTTGCCATGCCCAGCTGAGACCACCACTATTATTATTTTAATGTGTATCCATTTGTATCTCACCCTTGTCCTTTCCCCTTCTCTCTTCTCCCTCCCTCCTTTCCTCCCTTTTCCCCTCTCTTTCACTACACATACACACACACACACACACACACACACACACACACACACACAGAGACATACACTATACCAAATAATATCACACTATATACTATTCTGAAAACTTTTTTCCTGTCATCAATCTACCATTTTAGGGGCTAGGGAAGTATAACAAGTTTGCAGAATGCTTGTCTAGCATACATGAAGCCCTGGGTTAGACCTCCAGCACCACATAAAACCAGGCATGCTGTCACACATAATCATGAGTTAAAGGCAGGGGAATCAGAAATTCAAGGTCATCCTATGCTATACAGTTCTAGGCCAACCTTAGCAATGAGACCATCTCCAAAATTTTTTTTAAAGATCTACTATTTTAGGGCTGGAGAGATGGCTCAGCGGTTAAGAGCACTGACTGCTCTTGCAGAGGACCTGGGTTTGATTCCCAGCACCCACATGACAGTTATGAACAATCCTTAATGCCATCCAGTTCCAGGGGAATCTGAAGCCCTCTTCTGACCTCCACGGCATTGCACGACATGGGTGCACTCACATACATGCAGGTAATACACTCATACACATAAAATAAAAATAATAAAATATTTTTTAAACAGCTACTATTTTAATAAATAATATTTTCTTGCTTATTTATCTATTTATTGGACTTTATGAGACAGGGTCTCCCTGTAGCCCCAGCTAGCTTGGAACTCACTATGTAGACTAGGCTGGCCTTGATCTCACACAGATCTGCCTGCTTCTCTCTCCTGAGTGCTGGGATTAAAGGTTTGTGCCACTACACCTGGCTATAAATGGCATCTTTCTATTTTTCCAGCTGACCCTAAAATGGTCCTGACAGTTGGTTTGTCCAAACCAAAATTCAATCCAAAATAAGATTGATTGCATCTGTCTATTTTGAAAAGGAAGAGAATTTTAAATACTTGCATCTAGCTTACAATGGAAACAGCTGCTTTTGGCAAAGTTTACTGATACTGGAGATGTTAAAGCAAAGGCTGGGCTGACGTGTATCTGGGAGTTACATAGGAAAATGCTGCACACAGGGTACCTGGGAGTCGTTCCCTGGGCTGGTCGCCAGTTGGGACCACATTCCAGGGACCATGCTCCGACAAATGCAACCCAGTCATCTTGAAATTCACTCCACAGGGCAGGCATCCCGACACCCTGCCTCTGTGGTATCATGGACACACATGGGGAATGCAGCTCCATAATGGCCCAGGCTCTCCAGGAATCCTGTTTACTCTATGCCTCTCCGTTACACAGGTACAGGCAGCCCCCTTAGGCCCCAGGCTCCGATGGCCAGCCCCCAACCCCAAGCCTGTGCTGCCAGCTTACCAGACCATTGCCATTCAGGCCCCCACCTCTAGCAGGTCTCAGTCTATTGAAAGAACCCTCACTACTCCAAACCTAATTAATCACTTATTTCCTACTCCAACTTCGCTACCGACAGCACCAGGTCTATTAGCTCTCGTAGATGCAGGCTTCCTATTTCTTAATGATACAAATGCTAACCTTACTAAAAGTTGTTGGCTCTGTCTGGACCCGGGGCCCCCATACTGTGATGGCATAGCTGTCCTAGGAAGTTACTCTTTGACTGCTGATGCCTCTGCCTGCAGGATGGGTCCTTCTGATGGGAGACGAACCCTCACCCTCACCATG